ATACTTGTTGCCAATAATGCTTGTTATTTCTGGTGCTGTAATTACTATTTTTAGTGGCTTGGAAATAAACATGAACAACGGTCCTTAACAGGAAAAGTAGTCCAAGTCAGTCTTCAGTGCCAAGATTCCGATTCGCCGGACGTTTGTGCCGTATTCAGGGTCATTGGCAGAGACGGTAACGTTCCCTTGAGCTATGTAATTGGAATTTATTTTGTTTTTCTATACGGACGTAATTATTTTAAGTTGGTAATATTTTTGATGCACTAAAAATCTGTCTTATATGGCTAATAAACGAAAGTTTACTACGAACTGCTGCAACGTGCACCAGTAGTTTTCTCGGTGTAATACGAACGTTTAAAACTAATACAGTGCTATGAAGATATGTATAAAGTCGTCTACCAAGGCGCAACAGAGTACAAGCCTAGCAGGCAGATTCAATGGGATAGCAAACCAGTTCCAATGATTTTAATACCCAGATTTGCAAATTGAATAGCTAATTATACGTCCAAGGCAACGATCGATTAGAAGATTACCTTTGACAAATCGATCAGCATTTTTTAGCCCAAGGATTTCTGAAATAATGGACAAATTTCTAAAACAACAGTCATGACCGTTTCATAAACAATTTTCAACCCTAACCGAATATGGGACAAGTACTTTTGTTGTCCGTCATGCATCACACGGTAAATGAATGTCATCAGCCGCTGACTGTAGAACTCAATACGAGGGCGAGCGAACGAGTACCAACTATTTGAATTTTGATCGTTACCTACTATCCCGTGATAGAGCTGAAGGATTCGAATTACTTGAAGTCTCAGCCACGAAAGATTTTAAAGATGATGTTGCATTAGCTTGTTGTTTACGAGCACCCTTTGAGGACACGCTCGAAACGGATTGGATTCGTGTAGGTGAACTGAGGAGCTAAGGTTAAAACGGTACCGAACTTTCCAAAAACTGGGGTAATTCAGCGATTTTATCTGTGGCACACGTGGATTTTTTGTCATCTTCTTCCAGTGGTTCTTTTTACCAGTGGTTAGTTCAAACCTATGCTCTGCTTTTGCTTACTTGAAATAGTTTTGAACTCGAACTCATACGCAATCTTTGAATTTTTAGTTGAGTCCCAAGAAACATCTCCTGCCGGTGCCAGAAAGGAGAACTCCGAGCGAACCAGCCAATTGGGATTGGTGGTGGGAATCGTCTGCGGTGTTTTATTGGCATTCATTTTGATGGGAGTCACTGTTTTCTGGACGATATGCTGGAAGCAACAGAAAGAAAGGTTGGCACGAAAAATTCAGCTTCATGTCCTACTGCAGCAGCGGATGCAAGAGGTAAGCTTTGTCCAACCATCACTGTATCATTTCAATAATTGCTTCTTACTCATTGCTGAAGGAACTGAATTTCATACGGTTTTTAAGGTCAGAGATCTGAATGACAGGTGTCAAAAATGGCGCCGAAAGAACTGAGGGTGATTTGTATCCGTCTGAATGCCCGTCCTTATAAATCTCTTGAATTGACTTTATATTTTGCAAATTTCTTTCAAAGAGCCAACAGTGCTTTGTCAATCGTTGAGTTAATTCCATCAACTCAATTGCACTATTTTTAAGACTGTATTTACGCCTTTGCGGTCACTAGAATGTGTAGCACTTTGTTTTTTTACCACCTGTTGTCACTCATTTATGACCAATGCATGGGGGTTCTGCTAAGACTCCAGTGGTCAGGGCGTATGATCCTGCTAAGACTCTGGCCCATAGTCTTTTGACGGTGAGTTCAGAGTTTTGCCAGCTGATCGGCCTTGAGGCGACACTGGTCTGGACATGTAATGTTTTCCATTACCCAAAACGAAATTTGCCATCATCCCATTTATTCAACAAGTTTTATTCAGTTGCACAGACGTTGTAGTAGATAATGTCCCAGTAACCCATTTTCACAGGCCGTTTAGTTTGCGGGTCTATCCGCTGGTTTCCTTCTTTAACTTCTGAAATGTTTTCATACTTGAAGAAGCAGAGGTACACAACAGATTTACAGCGCATGGTCACTCCCACAGTCCTTGGAAGCAACTTCACTAAGCTGCTTGTACACAGGATCGCACATTTTGGACTGTTTCCAGTAGTTGCATCCAAATGCGAGGGTAAACAGAATTGAAGACAGTTGACTTCGATTGCTGCTCATCTTTTTCTTCACCGCCGCAGGTTACTGCATAAGCGTTGTCGATCCGTTTACGTATTTCCACCTCTTTCCTGCTATCACTTATGACTGCTAACGCATGATACCTGAACTTCTTTGTCTATCGTCGTTGCAACTCACTTTCAGAGCATATGGATCGAAGAGCGTGTTTTGGGCTACTGAGATGACTGCATAAAATTTAAAGAAGTAAAAGTCTGAAATGCATAACTGCCTTTATCTAATGAGATTTATTTTACAAATAACGTTTGCAAATTGTCACCTGGTTCGCTTCTGCAAATATGATTCTCACTTTCAGTAACATCGAAGAAAAGCTTAATTTTTGAAGATCGACTTTAACTACTCCCTCAAGTGTTTGTTTTAATCTTTTTAGGTATTCTACTAAAGGCTAAGAACTATTCGCAAAACGCTAAAACATCATAGAGCAGTTTCTTTAGGTACAATCTTTGGGAACATCGGTAATACTCAAAATAAATAAATCTTGCAATTTCAGGAAAATTTCGCAATCGAAAGCCAGAAGGACTATTTATTAGAATAAATTTCGCTTTTACATAACAGCCATAAGAATATTAAGACCGAAAGAAACTGTTAAGATAACAGAGTTACGAAGGTTTGGTCGTAAATTGTGAAGCGCTTCTGATCCTTCTATGATTTAGTAGTATTACGCATACGTTAGTCTGCTGGATGTGCGTGGTCCAAAATAGCAATGACGGACTGGTCGTTAATCAGTGATTCAGTTTGAAATACCCAGCGGCATTCCTCATTCCCTCCTTGAGTATAGCGATGCCACAGTACTGTTGGGGCTAGCCGCCAGCGGACACCAAAAAGAAAATGACCGTGAAAGCTTTAACCATTGCAGACAGTCCAAGAATATTACTGAATGGTATTGCGACAGACGAGGTGAAAATTTCAAGCACATCATACCTGTGTTGACCAACGATTACGAGATTGATGCGGAAGTGACTCTGCGTATCGAACTAGCATCAACGAGTTATGGCAAGCTGTATAACATATGGAAGGAACTGGCCATGAGAATGGACAATGGGTTCATTCTGCTAACACCCGCATTCGCGGTACTTATGTTCGGTATCGAAATATCTGCTGTCTTGAAGCGTAATGAGGCTCGTTTAGACTACTTACAATAGTACTGAATACGCAGCATCTTCAAAGTGTGACGTACCACTGGATCACGATTGAGCAGGTGCTGACGACCGGTCTAAGAAGACGAAAAGATGAGCCCAGAGCCCGATGCCTGACATTTTTTGAAAAACTGGATCAAATAGAGAATTAAATATATTCGAAACCTTTCTCTCCTGGGAATTGTATTGTTCTGGCCGCAGACGCATGAGAGTACAATCAAAAGTAGACAAACCTCAATGAAACAGACCTGCTTGCGATGCGGACCATGAGTTTTGCCCAATTCCAACCTGAAGTAACGTTTATACCGGTCGATCATCATAAATTTGGGCTACTCTGCTGTTTAAACAGTGTTAACTTGGCTGACGATGGCAAACGACATTAGTTTGCTGGTCTTTTTCACAGCTGGGAATCAAGGCCAATTAATTCACTTTGACAAAGATAGCCTTCTTCCCTATGCGGATCCGCTAAGTGTGCTATCGTCATATGGATTGCACCTGTTGTGTTTGACCATGACTGACTCGGTCTCAGTTATCAGATGCTCTATGATCGTTATGAGCGTGTTAAACGTGGGATCGTTTTTCGCAGCACGATTAGCCGTTCCCATGCGGTTCATTCCTGCCTTTGTCGGTTTTTAATTCTGAACTAAAGTGTAATTTTGTGCTCATAATGGTCAGTATTGGAAGTATTGACAGCAAAATTTAATTAAGCAAAACTCGGCCATGTTTCGCAATATGCCCAGGCCGTATTCCGGTGCCCAAGAGACGATGCCGCAGTCCACATTGGAACTGTTTCAAAACTACTCGGTAAGCAGCGCTAAGCTCGTTTGGTTTTGTACCGCGGATTTTCAGGGCTCCAGCTACAACCCTTTTACGGACTCTCGCTGCTGGGATCAGAGCAGCGTATCGAATGGATGTTATGGGGTGCACGGAAAGATGTTCGGCAAAAACGACCACCTGCCTCCCCCTCCGCCATACCCGCACAACAAGAAGCGACTATATTTCAGTCCTGAATTTTTCGACCCCAAATTGATGGCTAACCCGCCGCCGCCAGCCGAAGAATTTCTCTCGGAGGTACGACGGATGATCAACCTGGCTAAACTGCGTATTCGTGGCCGACGGTACACGCCATCGCTTAACGGTATACCGGAAGAGGACCGACTGTCGATTAGCTCAGAACAGGCATTTGATGCCAACAAGCACAGCGATACACTGAAAACCTCCGTCTCGCAGAAGTACTTGCAGGAAACAAAGCCGGACGGCGACGGCCTGCACTCCAGCACTGAATCGTCGCCAGAGTCAGCCGATTCCGGAGTGTCCTCAGCCGGTTCCTCAACCGACCACCGAACTTCGTCAAGCGAAAACGGTGTCAAACTTTCCGGAACGGTGGTGGCGACGACCAGTTTCAATAAGGTGCCCGCAGAAGGCGGCAACTCAGAGAACGTCAATCATTGGTTGAACCGAATCAACGAGCTTGGTGAAGAGTACCCTCGGTCGCAGACTATTTTTCACGAGGTCGGAGGTGGTCGCAGTCCTGACTTTTACCGGTTTTTTACTAGACGTCCTGGCGACGCGCCCGACGATGTCGAGCCCCAGACGTCGAAGGACTTCACGTTGAACCTACCGATGACTGACGACCGCTCGCGCGTGCGCCTGCATCCGGATATGGAGCCAATGATGTACGAACGCCGCTACTCCTTGCCGTCGATAATGTCGCCGGCGCCACCGCATAACTACCCGTGGCCTTGCCGTTTTAACAACGACATATCCTCCACTGAGGATATGCTCCGGTTGCAAATGCAGATTAGCCGGAAACTGAACGAGGAGCGCTACTTCGGTGAGCCGAGCAACAGCCTCCCTAAAAGGCTGGCACATTTCCTCGCCAGCCCTGAACTACGGGTCGACTGTCAAGATCTGTTCCACAACTTACCCTACGCTGAAAGCCTGCCTCGGGGCAAAGCCTTGCATCGGCCAGGTCTTCATCCGTATCTTTTCGTCAACGAAAACGCGTCGTCGAGGCCACAGAAAAGCGACACGTCACCCATTTAACTTCGACCTCGCGTTCTTCACGTCGACTGAGCATCACCACCTGCTTACAGATCTTCGATGTCGATCCCGACTGCAATGCGTACCTCACACGTAGTGGTCCGCGATGGACTGGTCAACAATGTGTACATTATGCGTGAAACTAATGAAAATTTGTATACTATGCACAACTGTGATTTCAGATGGGTCGATACCGGATGTCTGGAAATACGTTTCAAGCTCAGAAAGAGAGGGGAATACGAATAATGAGAGGAGAAAGTGTGTAACAGTTATATTTCGTTCTTCTGTACACTTCAATGGCTTTTGACACCTTCCTCGTTTAATGCACTGATCAACATCATCATCCAAAGTGACAGTTTATTCGAGTCATATACTGCACTTTGGCGGTCGTTACAACATGCAGTCCTCTGCTTTCTTTCCACGATAACGTTCATCTACCTTAGAAAAGAATGAAATATAAGTTACCTTGACTGCGTTTCGAACTCAAGGTTTTTCGCTGCGCTTTAACGAACAAGAAAACCTGACGTCAGGAAAATTTCAAGGACAAAAATAAACTGCTAATTGTTCTGTACTGAAGCAAACGTCGTTTGGAACAAAAGTCACAGTACCACTATTAAAAGCATCAATATTTTTAGGTGTAATTAATGTATTACTCTCAAGAAACAAAACAACAGAGATAAATGTTTACGCCAGTTAAGCACAAACAGATTTCTCGAAGATTGAAAGCAACGTTTCAATGAGCCTCGACTGACTGACTGACTGACTGACTGACTGACTGACTGACTGACTGACTGACTGACTGACTGACTGACTGGGAGTGACTGACTGACTGACTGACTGACTGACTGACTGACTGACTGACTGACTGACTGACTGACTGACTGACTTTTCTATACCAAATTTCAGGGCTTATTTCACTGTATCCTTGCTTCTAATTGTTCAGGGGGGTCACGGCTTCATGGTGTTAGAGCCCCTGCATTACCAGATGCATCTCGCATTTGTTGGTCTGCTTGCGAAACCTGACGATCGCTTCAAATAGTTTTACTGCTTTAATAGAAATACTGATACTGATCATGAAGAATCATCTATTTTCTGAGCAGGAAAAAACGCGTGTGAAATGATCAAAACAAGAAGAAGTATATTGGTTTGAACAATGCAGTTTTTCATCGTTAAGAATGCAATGCAGCAGATAAATTAATGACGATAAAAAGATTTTTGTGCCCAATATCGTGAACTGAGATTATTTACAACAAATGTTTTCTGCCTTTCAGAGTGATCATGAGGTAAAGGGTTAGACTGACCGACAAAATGGCTTCATGTGGCTTCCGATTACATCTTTAATTTAATTTTCGAATTTTGATGTTTAACGTATATGCAATAAAACTGACTGAATGCCTGCGCTATGAAGCAGTCTTCCAAGTAAGCTCCATTCTTGAAGATTCCTGGAAACAATGCTTTCAATTAAACAGAAGCCATGAAATGAAGTCTTGTTTTCATCTCACACTTTGTGGTTCTTTGCGAAAATGAAAAGTGTATGATTACTGAAGGGAATAATGATTCGTTAGGGATCTAGCCTGCTGTTTTTCGATGATCGATTTCGCGCTAAACGCATGGAACTGCTAAACTGACGAAATGCAGTAAAGTTAAAAAGATTCAGCAAAGGGGTACCACATTTTGCCTATTCGTAAATTTGAGCTATGTCTGAATAATTAAAACTTGCTGAACGCAAAGAACAGTCCAGGAAGCTACTGAGATTCTCATCGTGTACTGTTGAGCCGGACCTCATAAAACGTGTCCTCGAATATGCCCAATGTGAGTACTTGAGCATTCATTCTTAGACATGGTAAAAGACAGTTATGTTCGAATCAACGTGAACCTGCTGACATCCCCTGCAGGGAGGTCGTTCCTGCCGTTCAATAAAAAATTAATCGCCGTCTTCAACCCTTAAAATGCCTGATTCTGCGCAGCAAGATACCATCCATAGGCAGATCAAGAAACTTATTGTTAAGCAATACATAATTGGTGCAATAAACTGGCGCGGTGCCTGCTGGCCGAAAATTCCCTGGCAGTTTCCAAGGGAATCTTCAACTATTTCAGGAAGACAACGCAAGAAACAAAAGCAAGACCTACAAGACGTCCTAAAGTTGCTGTCTCAGAACGCACGTAAACAGCTAAAAACGTTTTTCGCGCAATAAATAAAAACTGGCATGAGACGGGCGCTTGGCGTAATAAAATTAAAAGAAAATATACTTTTGATTAGTTAATCACAGCCTTAGATATCAGTCTCACAAATCCATGTCATGAACAACGTATCGATAAGACTGGTCGACTAATCAAGGTGCAACTTTTGCAAGTGAGCTTATGAAACACGTTGTACGCTGCCCATGAGGTACAAGTTCTTTGCGAATCTTGCAATGGAATCGACAATGGATGATAATCGGTCAATTCTTTTCAAACTAAGCAACAATCAATGACATTTATTTATTTCTTAAAAAGGGTATTCACTGAATCACGTGTCAAACCAGTACCTCATCCTTTTTTTAAAATTGGATTTGCAGTGTGGCAATAGAAATTTGCGAATCATCTAGTTCAAGTTACATTCCGTGTGTTAAAATTAGCAACTTTCTTTTCATGTCAGCCGTAAGTACCTATTGAAATACCATTGCCCGCGAACGACATTAATCATTAAGCAGCACTCTTTTAGTTTAACAGCAACATCGAGAAATCGTACTTCGCAATTTGGCTTTTTCTTCACAGATGAACTGGATCTTTATCGTGAAATCGTTAACGTCAGAACCGGTAGTGGAGAAGAGGAAAGTACATAAAAGTTGTCAACTTTTTCGCATAAATTTCTGCTACCATTGCATTGAAAAGACATAGACAATGGACCATGGAAATTTCATGAACTTGCTTGTCGTTTATCATATTATTGATCATATTAAATTGTTATTTTTCTTGGATATCATAGGTTGAGTATGTCAAGTAACGAATGACTCATCTATGAGCTAAGTTCAAGACGAATTGTATTGCCCCCTTGACCCCAGTTGCGTGCGAGGTAATCAGTTATGCATATCATGGCTCAGCGATATTTGAGCACCTGTTGTGCTAGATAGTGCTGCACCATTTGATCCGCTAGAGAATATAATGAGTACTAGCTCCTGAAACATTGCTAAGGATAAGCGCGAGTTGACTCTAGTGGACAAAATGATGTAAGATGCATCTAGCATTGCAGGTGTTCGAATACCTTAGAGGTGAGGACCACTTGAATTGTCACCTTAGGCAATTAGAAACATGGAGCTGTGCAACGCGCCATAAAATCTGGCTTTAGAGGTTTCATTCACATTTTTTCGACAGTGCAATAGTTTTTAAGTGGCATCCTGTAGCGGCAATGCCAGGTCAATTGCTCAGCGAGTATAGACTTATGTAGTGCAATGACAGACATGTATCAGTCGTAAGATAACTGACCGAATACTTCTTCCACAAAATGATTCAATGACCGCTCCGTGAACTAGTGAAGTCACACAGTTATGATGGTCCATTTGATTTACTTCTTCCGGCTTCCTTGCGCGTTTTGCAGATGAACGGAAACGAATACTGAGAAGCTCGGGGGAGAAGAATGTGATCGAGAATTTCAAGGAGGGTTAAGGCCTAAGTTAAAGAAGTGTCTACTCTGGTAAATCAAATCTGTAATCTCTTGGCAAATGAACTAACTGAAAAGTGTCCTTGATCTGAGCAGCATCCCCTTAACAGTGGGGGAAGAAAATTCTCCTTACCCTCACTTCTCGTACACTCAAAGTATCGGGCATTGCAAGTAAGCCTTTATGTTAGGAACCAGTGGGCAATTACTGACGAAACAAAACGGAATCGCTCATGACGTAGGGGCGATTCGGCATCGATCGATAGTCGCTATCAACGTGCAGTCCTGCGGCACGCGTTTGAACTTATACGACTGAACTGTGGTCACCTCGATCAACCTGTATATCCAACTCGACATGTTTCATATCATTGAGAATCTCTCTGTGAGCG